TTCACATTAGTAAATCAAATGGAAAAACAAATCCCTGCCCTTGTGGTGCTTATATTCTAGGACAACATGGACAATAAATGTAATAAGTAAGTAAATTACACAGTTATGTTAGAAGATGAACATGTGCTCTGGGGGGAAAGAGCAGATGAAGTGATTGGAAATATCAGTTTTATACAGATTAGGCCTCACTGAGGAGGTAAATTTTGGGCAAAGACTTCAAGGAAGTGGAGCCAGAGCCACACAGATATCTGTGGAGGGGATGGTGGTGGTGGTAGGGAGAATAGCAGGAAGTGAGGTAAGAGAAATACAAGAGTAGTAGAGTGAGGGGGTGTGTGTGGGTTGATAGACTACTTTTAAGAACTTTGGCTTTTGAGTGAAGGGGAAACCACCCTCCTTCTCCCACCAAATCTTGGCTAATTGAGATATGTTTCGCTAAATAAATTTTAAAAGGGCAGGATGTAGTTTTTTAAGCGTAGAAAGAGTGAAACTATGTATCCCTGATTCTACCTTTTTAGCAATATTCTTTGGAGGAAGGAATTGCCAAGTATAAAAATGGGTTAGAAATGAAGAAACAAAGTTTACACACACAAGGAAACATCTTGGGGAGTTACTTTACACAAAAATATAGGGTTGTAAGTGATTTTCTTACAATCAGTCCACATGGTTACTCTTTCAATCTATTAAGCTAGGGTTAAAAATAACAGTAAAAATTCCATATTTTTCACAGAAAATCACTATGGATATGGAGTTTTTTAAAAAATATATATTATTGTGTATTTTACATGATCACATCATATAAAATGTGTAGATGAGCAAGATCACTGAATAAACAATTACCTTTTTTCCCCCTGAGTAAGCAAATGCACAATAATGTAACTTCAGAACTTTTCTTGATCTTAGTAAATATAACTCTGTCTTCTGAAGCAATGCTATCTTTAATTATAACTTATTTGTGAATTGTTAGAAAATAATGACAATCAATTCAGGGTTTCTAAGCTCTACGAATATTAATCAAAATTCCCTCTAACAAAGAGGCAATCTCTGGGAACAGCTTCAGAGTAAAATAATACTCTCTATTCACAATAAGGTCAGATGGAGTTTACTCAGTAGCCCTGATATCTTCTTTTCAGAAGACACACAATGAACTCAAATAGGAAAATTGATGGATGAGTCCTTTCAGATGTAAGGTAATTACAATTTGTTCATAATGTAATGCAGTGTCTCAACTGTGTGTTATCACTTTAATATAAAACTACTATATGATGTGTTTATGACAATGGAATGGAAAACCCATCAGTATTAACTTCTTATGACTATCTGCATCTCTTTTTCACATTTTATGACTACTGCTTGAAGGTCTTAGATTAGCTATAAGAAGAATTTCTGACAGTGAAGGTACTAAAAATGAGCATCTTAAAGATCTTTCAGGAAAGGCATGAATGTTTACCCTCAGGGATGATTTGCTATTGTCCTACATGAAAGCAGAAATAGAAAGCAGAAAACTCTTCAGGCCCCCCATGATCCTTGTTATTCTTTACACTAAAAAGGCTTTTACCCCCCTTTTTTCCCCTAGAATAATGGTTCTCTATAACCATGCCCCTGTCTTCTGCTACGTATGAAATTTCATATTTGCTATGACATTAGAAATAAATATGCTATTTGCTTTCATTATCATCAAAATAATGTTACAGTGTTGATTAAAAACTAATTTGAAACTGTTTTAAAGCAAAATTCTCAAGGCCCTGCTGAAATTAGATGAAGAAATGATATCATTTAATCAGCTATATGCTTAGATATGTATGTTCTGTTAATCTGTTACCTAGATGAGGGGTTTATCTTTCATGCAAAATGCAATCATATGTGTATTTATGTCTGTAACTCCCTTGGAAATGCAACAAAATAATAACATGGGTTGATGGCTGAGTGGGTGGATAAATATATGATTGAAAAAATACAGCAAAATGTTAAAACTGTAGAGCCTAGGAGGTCACTGTATGGACACTTACTGTAAAATTGTGTTAACTTTTCTATATATTTGAAATTTTTAACGATAAATTGTTGGGGAAAATGCAATCATACTTGAAACCTGTTTTACATGGCAAGGGAGAAACCAAATCACACAGAATAATTCTGCAAAAAAAGATGAGACCAGTTTTTGCTGCTTATATTGAGTTGAGGAGGAAAATGACTGCCATAACACCTTTATCAATCTACCTCCAGAAAAGTCATCCAAATTCACACTGCTATTGAGAAATGAAGGCAGGCAGAAAGGTTGGTTTGTTCAAGAATTCTATAGTGAAAGTAAGTTCCTTTAACTGAATTTTGAAAAGTAAGACTTGAAATTACTTCTGTATCTAAAAATACAATATTTCTTTACCTACTCAGAATAACTTCATTTTCAATATAGATTTCCTGAAAGGAGATAAAGTATACCTTCCTTTGGATTACTAATTATTCTTTTTGGCAATGCCTTTTCCCTATGAAGCTGTTTGAAATCACTCAAAGAAAACAAAAACATGTTAAAAAATGACCAGTACATCGGAAAATTTACATACTAAATATGATATCATTTAATCAGCTATATGCTTAGGTATGTATGTTTTGTGCATATGAAGTATATATGATATGTGTCATAAGCCTTTCAACATAAATGACTTTCTAAAGTGTCATAAGCAAGGCATCTTTATGTTTGATAATTCTATCAATGATTTTTTGGTAGTCATCAAAAGCATATCACTCCCTGTATTTCGTACAGACAGAAAAAGACATCATCTCAAAGAAATTGCTCAGCTAGTAGTGGATAATGACCTATTTAATAAAGATTTATTGAATACCTACCATGTGCCAGACACTGGGCTAAGGCTTAGGGATGAGAATATAAATAAAATACAGTCCCTGACTTCATGAAATTTACAATTTGGTAAAGAAGATACACAATTACAAAACACTTAAATTGACCAGTAAGTATATGTGTGGAGTGTTACTGTAAGAAAAAGGAGATACCTAACCTAGCTGGGGGATCTCTGGGACTGCTTGCTGAGTTTAGTCTTAAAGAATGGGTAGCAGTGATTTAGGCAGGAGAAAATGGGAGAGGGTACTCTATGCTGAGGTGGCCGCCTGACTAAAGGCACAGAGCAGCATGTTGTGGGCACAGAACTGTACTGCTAGAGAAAAAGCTCATGGTATGTAATGGAGACAGATGAAGCTATGGAGGTAGGCAGTTGTCATATCATGGATGATCTTGTGGGATATATAAAGGAGCCTGGACTTTCTCTTGGCCTGATAAGGATTTAGAAGTGGAGTGACATTTTCAGATTGTATCTTAGCTAGATCTCCCTGGCTCCTGAGAGAAGGATGAATGTGAGGGAGACATGGTGACCAGCTGCAGGAGTGACATAATGAGGACCTGAATCAAGATTGTGATGGTAGGTATGGTTTCTACTGAGAAAGACCAGCAGATTGTCGGGTTAAAATGTGAGGTGATTTCCAGGTGTCTGGATTGGATAAGAGTCAATAGATAACAAAGTCTTCCCATCAAAGTAGATAACACAGAAGGAAAAGCCAAGTTGAAAGCTGATGGATTCAGCTTTGGATGTGTTGGATTTGACATGCCTCTCGGTTATCTAGGTGATTTCCAGAAGGAAGTTAAATACAGGATGCTGAGGAGGAGGTCTGAATGGGAGGTTGAAATTTGAGTCAGCAAAACATAGAGATATTTGAAATCGTGAGACTGAATATTCAGGATTTTGTTTTTGTTTTTGATTTTAGCCATTCCAATAGGTGTGTAGTAGTAGCTCATGGTGGTTTTATTTTTTATTTCCCTAATGATGTTTTGCATCTTTTCAAATGTTTATTTGCTATTCATATAACTTCTCTGGGGATGTGTCTGCTCATAATATTTCCCCATTTAAAAAATTAATTTGTTTTCTTATTATTGTGTTTTGAGAGTTCTTTGTATGTTCTCAATATAAGTCTTCTACCAGATATATGCTTTGCAAATATTTTCTCCCTGTGTGTGGTTTCAGTGTTTTCTGAAGACCATAGTTTTTATTTTGTTTAAGTATAATTTTTTCATTTTATCTTCTCTGCATCATGCTTTTGGTGTTGCACCTAAGAAATCTTTGCCTAAGTAAGGTCACAAATATTTTCTCCTGTTTTCCTTTGGAAGTTTCAAGTTTTTCACTTACATCTATGAGACATTTTGAGTTTATTTTTGTTTATTGAGGAATGGATTGATATAATGTGAGTGGATAGAACCAACCACTAAGAGTGTACACAGTGAGAAGGCCAAAAGGTGGATGAAATTCGGGGAGAAAAGATAAACCTAGGCTAAAGGAAGTGGAGTTGAGCAAAAAAGACACAAGGCATTGTCAGAGAAGCACAAGGAAAACTGAATAATCAACACTGTCTACTAAGATAAGCAATGAAACTTGTCTTCTGAACTTGGATGAGGTCATTAGTGACCTTAAGAAGAGCATATTCAGTCAAAACAAATCATTTCGACATTGAAACTTCATTTAACCAACCACTTTAAGAATTCCCCCTGTGGAAGCATTGGGACGAGGTCTGAAATGCCTGAGCATTCTTAAAGGTCACTTCTCGGGGCACAGGAGGGTCCTGGCCTTCCCGACACTGACGATGACTGAGACAGATTCCCGTCACGCCCCTTGGGGCACTCCAGAATGAGGTCTTGGGGACAAGCCCAAGGAATCACCGCCCCGCTGGGAAATCTGAACTAACACTCATCAACGGGTTCGCCAAGCTGGCAGCTCACGAGGGAGGCAGCTGGTGAAACTACGGCCGAATGAAAAGGCGAGGATGGGAACGTGCGCACTTGGGCAATCCCGGGGCAGACTAGGGAAACCCCTTCCACCCGCCACCCCCTAGTGCGTCCGGAGGAGGAGAGGGGGAGGGCGTGGGGCTCCTCGGGCCAACTTCGCGGCCGGCTCTCCTCGCGGGCGAAGAGCTCCGGCACTTAGCCGGTCCCAGGCTGGGGGCTTAAACATAGGGGATCGCGGGCAGGCCTCGTCCGTTCCCAAAGGTCACGCTGTGGGCACTGGTCAGACTCCCTCCGACCGGCTGACCTTTCGCCTCTCCGCCCCAGCAACCTGGGTATCATTCTTAGTCGCGGTGGGACAAGGTCACCCAGCCAGCTGACGGAACGAGCCATCACTTCCAGCTAGTCGTAAAGCGCCGCAAAGCGCAGCGCCGGCGCTTTGCGGCACCGTAGGTGAGGCTGCTGCGTGGATCCTCGCTCCGCGCAAATCCTTCGGGTGGGCAACTTCTTCTGGGAAACCGCGGCAGATAGGAGTTTGGGGAGGACGGTGACCCAGCTACGATTCTCTCAAAGGGTAATTGATCCTAGGTTTGTGTAACAAGAGAGAAAGTGGGTAGGGTTGTTTATAAACAGTACAGTCCTTATTTAAAAGCCTTGAAGTAAGGTTCTTAAACCTCCCTCCTTGTGACATGCCGTCCCTCCTCGTGCTATTTTGGTTTTCGTCTAAGTGTTCATCACTAGATTTTAGGCATCCTCCATGTAGCTGTCACTTGATTTTCTTATTCATTTCGTCCTGCAGTCGCCCTCCCCCTGGACTTTGAAATGCTTTACATGATCGGTTTGGGCCTGGGAGATGCCAAGGACATCACAGTCAAGGGGCTGGAAGTTCTAAGACGCTGCAGTCGAGTGTATCTGGAAGCCTATACCTCAGTCCTGACTGTAGGGAAGGAAGTTCTGGTAGGTGCTTAAGGCTTTCCAGCCTCCTGGGAAGAACGATATTTAACAGCTGATTTTTATTACACCAAGCTGAACCGAATTTTTCAGGTCTGTTGGTTCAAATCCTTTAAAACACATGCCCTGCTTATTATTAAGAATCTGAGGAGTACAAGAATGGAAATAGCACACTAACCAAGTGACTTGGAAAATGAAAGGGTGCTTTTTCTTACTTTACAAGTCTAATTGTGTAGCTTTTCTCCATTAAAAAGGAAAGTTATTTTACACTCCTGGGGATAATTATCAGAATCTCGTATTTCATGAGATAGACAAGAAATCCTTTCTGAGTTGAGTGCTAATGAGGTGCTGACACAGCCTTAATGAGTTGGTAATGTATTCAGGAACCAAGCTGAAAAGCTCCCCCCTTTGAAGTATTTCCATAGGGAACGGTAATCGCCTTTCTGTCTGTATCATATCCAGAGAGATCTAACCTTTGAATAGACATCTCCCAGTAAGGCTTATACCTATACACTTGGATGTATTGAGTGAGCCTGGAACTTAGTAACCGTAGAATTTGCTAGTATATCATACGTTTACCTGGCTTTGGTTAAGGGCTCAGTAAATTTTGGAGGAGGGGTCAAATTCAGGTTCATTGTCAAATTTCAAATACAGTGTAAATTAAGATGAAAAGATTGATGGACATGTTATAGGAGGAGGGAGAACATTTTAGGATTGTCTGGTCTATCAAGTCTTCCAGAGAAAAAGGTGACCTAGAGAATTTCAGGTCTTCTGGCCTCTCAGATTCACAGCCCAGAGAATTCTGAAGGTCTCAGAGTTTCTTTAAAATCTTAAAGAAGGACTGCTACTTGATTGGCCATGCATTGAAATAAAAGTTGTGTCTAATGAACAGCTTTTATTTGTTGGCTCCAGTTTATTAAGATGGAGCCAGAATATCCAAGCTCAAGATGATAGAAATGTTCCTCTCTAATTAGTGATAAAGGACAATTAGAATGAACTTAAAATCTTTTTAGAGAATATAGAGAAATCAGTAGTTTTATAGAATTGGGCGTGGTTTTATGTCTTTGCTCTGTCACATGTTAACATGTGACCTTGGACAAGCCCTTTAACTATAGTTTCTTACTTTGTAAAAAGAGGACAGAAATGCCTACCTTATAGGATTTTAGCATAGCGTCTGGCACAGAAGTGTTCAGAAAACATGAGTTGTTAACAGATGCATTTCCAAATGTGTCTAAACCTCAGTTTCTTCATTTGTCAAATGGAGATAATCAGTTGGAAGGCTGTTAAGATTATATCATTTATTAAGATGATGTATTTGAAAGTGCTTTGCAAATTTAAGTGTTAGCTAAATGTTAATTTTGGTTGCTATGATTTTTTTTAGGTATTTTTTTTTTTTCCAAAAACATATTTGTAGAGTTACTACATACAGGGTCAAGATCTGGGGCTGAGCTCAACCTCACAGGTAAATTATATGTACTTTGTTAAGGTACTAGAATTCTATTTCTCAACAATAAAAAGTGCTAATATTTTTAGAACACTTATTATGCACTGTTTTAAACACTTAACATGTAGAACAGGATTATTACTCTTTAATTACTGTTCGCAGTTTTAGAGGCACAGAGAAACTTGTCCAGGGTCATACAGATAGTGAAAGATAGAGCCAGAATATGGGCCAAAGCAGTCCTCAGCTGAGACCCACCACTTTTGACCATACTGTGTCTCTGTACTCTTAGGGATAGATAATAGCTTCACAAAATATAACGTCACAGAACACCTACAGAGAAGTTAGAATTCAAGTAAAGTGGTCGATCCTGGATCCCCCCCGTCACAAAATTCCACTGATCTGCTCTCCGTGAGCCCCTCTGGGTCTTCAATTCATGTTCTTCCCTGAACAACTTTCCATACACCAGCCAGCTTAAATGAATCCTTTCTGGAATAAAGTAAGGTATAAATAAATACAATCATGCCTTATATTGCCCAGTAAAATTTGAGAACCACTTTATCTTCAGCCACTTTCTTCCTTTAATTTCTACCTTTTCTTTCTTTTTTAAACAAATTACTTAAAAAAGTTGTTAAGATGTGCTCGTACAATCTGGTCTCAATAACTCTAGATAGGTATTATACAGTGAAAAAAAGATGGGAAAATTCTGTTTTCTGCAATGAATATATGCTTCCTTTTATCACTAATTACACAAAATAATTTTTTTAAAAAAGGGCCACATGGATGTTGCTAAAGAAATCTAGAATTTATCTGTTCTTACATTGAAAGCTATTATTTTCAAATTGCCAGATGGGTAGTATCGTTTATATATTCCCTATTCTTCAGAAGTTAATTAAACTAGAGACAGTGAATCCAGGAAAGACTTTTAGTTTTGGTATATACAGTTTGGATTTCTTTAGGCACTTTCTGTGGCTAAATTATTATCTTATGTGCCGATTTGATATAACGCACCTATATACGTTATACAACGAGATATAAGCTATGATCTTCATTCTCAAGTGGGTCATGATTCATCTGTGTTTACCCAGGAAAACTTAAATAATACTGGAAGATGTAAATAACAATTCATGACAGTAGTGGAAGAGAGAAACTATAAAATTATATTTCTGACAAGAACTTGATTATTTTATTTAAGCCAACACTTTTTCACCAATTAAGTAGTAGAAGCTATCTCAGATAGCTACTAGGTATTAATTACAATTGAGGTACATGTAAGAGAGAAGGTCACTTCAGGCTGTGCTGGTCAGGGAATACTATGGAACAGATGGAATTTTGAGCTATGTTTTCAAACGACACATCTCAATTGTTTTATTTTTGTTTTGTTTCTTTTGTTTAAATCATGGTCCAAATACAAAATGATAATATTTGTATAGCTCTTCAGGATAAATGGAGGAAGCTGCTCATGGCCTGCGAGGACTAACTTTGGGGCCCTAGCTACCCTGCATAAAGCAGAGATCATTCATCTCTGCTTGTCTATGCCCCATTTGCAGTTCTGTGAAGTCCTGCAGTCAACTAATGTTCTGTGTCCTTGGGCAGTCATTTAAATTCTTTGCTCTCTTTCATATCTGTAAAACAGGAATAAAGATAGTGCCTATGTCATAAATTGTGGTAAAGATTAAGTGAATTCATATGCACAAGTTCTTAGAAGAGTGCCTGACCACAGAGTAAGCCCATTGTAAATGTATTATTACAGATATTGTTATTATAGATGATATTTGATAAGGGAAAGAGCAAGAGACAGTTATTACTATAGATAAGATTTGGTAAGGGGAAGAGAAAGAACATTCCTTGCTGAAGAAAAAATAATAGTGAGCAAAAGCAGGGAGGAGAAAAACAAATATTTGCTATAACTTGTTCTTGGGCAACACCAAAATAACTTTCATTTTCCTCTGGTGTATCTTTTCCCTCTTTTTTTCCTTCCAGTTTTATTGAGATATAATTGATATACAGCACTGTAAAAGTTTAAAGTGTATAAGTGACATAATGATTTGACTTTCTCACATCATGAAATGATTACAATAACTTTAGTGAACATTCATCATGTCACATAGGTACAAAGTAAAAGAAAAAGAATTGTTTTCCTTGTGATGAGAACTCTTCGGATTTACCCTCTTAACAACTTTCATACGTAGAGTACGGCAGTGTTAATTATATTTATCATTGTTCCTTCTCCTTTCTTCCTAACATACTTCACCTCGGTATACCAGCCAACTCTGTTTCCTTGTCCTCCTATCTAACTGCTGTGGATTGAGATTGGAGGGATAGGAGAGAACAGAAAAGAACTTTGCATTGAGAAAAATGAGGCCATCAGCTATGACCTTTATTAGCTTCCTATTTATCCTTACCCTAAATCTGAATCTGTCCTCCCTCCAGTCTTAGAAAATGACTTGTAAGATGAGGTTCTCTTCCTGTTCAAGTCTAATGCCATCTAGATGGGTTTTCTTTCAAACGTCTTCTCTCCGTTCCTTTGGAACCTTACTCCTGTCAATTATTCTTTCTTCTTTATGTTCGATCTATATTAATATCCTTTTGTCCTCTCAAGGGTCAAATACAGTTGACCTTTGAACAACTTGAGTTTGAACTGCACAGATCCACTTATATTTGGTTTTTTTTTTCCATAGTAAATACTACTGTGCTACTTGATTCGAGGTTGGTTGAATCCACGGTTATGGAGGAATCACGAATATGGAGGGCTGACTATAGGTTATACTCAGATTTTTGACTTTGTGAAGGGTCGGCACCCCTAACCCCTGCATTCTTCAAGGATCAAGTGTATTGTCCATTCCGAAAACTCTCCTTTTTTAAACCTCTTTTCCCCATAGTTATTATTCTGTTTCTCTCTCCTTTTTCCAAAGCTTTTTGAAAAAGCAGTATACTTCTCTTGTCCCCCCGCGTCCCCTTATGTCTCAAGACTCCTACAAGCTGAATTCCATTTCTCTGAAATACTTCTCTGTTTATTGAACAATTATTTAGTACCTGAGAACTCCAGAGGATAGTTTTGAATTTTTGTCTGTTTTACTTCTTTTGACATAGTTGACTATTCCTTGAAACCGACTTTCAAGACATGGCTCTCTATTGGTTTTATTCCTGCTTTTGCATTTTTCTCGGTCCCCTTTGTAAGCTCCTTATTTTTCCATTCCTACTTTAAATGTTAGTGTTTTTGTTTTCTTTTTAAGATTTTGTTCTTGCATTTGTTTCCATATGCTACTTTGAGCCTTTACTCTTCTACTTTTTGACTAGGTAATATGTTAAATAGTTTGAAACTCAAAGATACTAAAAGGTATATATACATCAAAAGATTTCTATCCCAGTTATTCCTTCTGGAGGCAATCATTACTAATTTCTTGTGTATCCTTCCAGAAATACCCAAAAGTAATTTTAGCTGTTAGTTTTTACTTTCTTCCCTGTATACAAAACCCACCAATGGAAAACTAAGAACTAATTTTGAGTTTTACCTTCATTTTCACGAATGGAGAAGATTAGGGCTGAGATACGAAAACTGTCTAATCAATCATTGGATAATATATAGTATAAATTTAAAATCATTTGTTAAATGGTGCTGCTTGTTTTTTAAATTTTCCTTTCCTGACCCTGACTAGCTTTGATGTTCCTATAGCACATATAATGTGGTAGTTAATTCCCTGCTAGACATTATGCTCCATAGGGCAGAGGTCATGTGTGTCTCATTCACACTGTTTCCCAACATCATGCATAGAGCTTGGCATGGAGGTCGTACACAGAAATATTTTTCAAATGAGTGGTTGAACGAATACATAAATAAGTGGTTAAGATAAAAATAGTGTAGTACCAGTCTATTTCTGCTTTAGCAATCTCTTCCTTTTTTTAAACATTCTTTTTAAAGAGGATCAACCTTTGATTATATTGAGGTGTTAATGTGTGTTTCTCTTTAAGGAGGATGTTTTAAAAAAATAAATAATCTGTTGTTTCAATTAGATAATGAAATATTTCTTGGTTAGGGTAAGTGATAAATATGAAGTGATCATGATAAAAGTCTTGAGGAGAGAGTGGATTTTCTGTTGTTAAGTCATTTATAAAATATTGGATAGGATTACTGCCAGCATTAACCTAGTAACATGTGACTCCTTGATTTTTAAGAAATGTTAGAAGTTCAGAAAAGAACATTGTTTCCTTCAGTTTTCAATAATCATATGTGTGTTCTCTTACATATGTGAATATAAATGTTCCGCAGCTGTTTTTTGTTTGTTTTGTTTTGTTTTTTGGCTGCATTGGGTCTTTGTTGCTGCACACGGGCTTTCTCTACTTGCGGTGAGCGGGGGCTACTCTTGGTTGCATTGTGCGGGCTTCTCATTGCGGTGGCTTCTCGTTGCAGAGCACAGTCTCTAGGTGCGCAGGCTTCAGTAGTTGTGGCACATGGACTCAGTAGTTGTGGCTTGCAGGCTCTAGAGCACAGGCTCAGTAGTTGTGGCGCATGGGCTTAGTTGCTCCACAGCATGTGGGATCTTCCCTGACCAGGGATCGAACCCGTGTCCCCTGCATTGGCAGGTGGATTCTTAACCACTGCACCACCAGGGAAGTCCCCTCTACAACTGTTAAGTTTATTGGGCTTACAAAATAAAAGTAAGATGTATAAAAATGAAGGATTAAGAAAAAATATGTGGTACAAGTGAAAATAAAACATTTTCATCTCTGAAAACATCATTGTCATTGGGAACTTCTGGAACGTTATCTCTAAGAAGATATTCAGAGAAAAGGAAAGAATCTTTTTTCACATTTGAGGAACAGATTCTACTTAAGTATTAGGAAGTAATTATCGCAGTTGGAACTGTAGCCTTTATCTGCAAATGCTTAATCATTTGTTCATTTACTCATTTGCTTGACAAATATTACTGAGTAGCAGATACTCTTCCATTACAGCAATCCTTATAACTTTTGACATATGATATAATCCTTATGACAAAAATAAACTTCTCAGCATGTAAGAAATAGTATTATTTATCTGTGCATCCACTTTTACTATATTTGAGTCATATTCGATATATTACTCCACAGGAAATCTGTTATAAGATTCATGATCTTGCATAATAGGTTGTAACCACTACCCCATGACAACTAGCACACTCTTACTTCCATGCTGCCATTCCAGTTAAGGTCACCCTCCTGGGTTTGTGCTTTAGAGTTGAACTTCTGCGGATTCGTTCACAAAGCAGTTTGTTTGGAGAATTCTTATATATTTAGAATTCTTTTCTTGCTCCTGCAACTCTGCCTTTTTTAGCAGGAACTAGGAAATACAGTTTTAAATTAGTCTTTCCTGCAATTATGCAGGAATGTTTGCTGGTTCTGTAAACAACTAAATCTTAATTTTCTACTGTTTCTCATTGAAATTATCTTCTTTTTTAGTCAAGGTCTCATAGATTTCCCAAGGAAAATTTAATCAAACCCAGCTACCATGTATGTGTATAATTATTGTTTAATATATTTATTCTGCAGTACTGTGTTTCTGAAGTCAGGCTTATGCATACATGTTCTCTATTCATCCTACAATGTTTGGCCTGGTCTGTTAGACCCAAATTTAGAGGTTAATTTAAAATGCAAAGAGCCTGAGGTGTTAGGAGGTCTACCTCCTCTTGGGATATTAAGATAGCCCCAAAGACAGAGTTTAATTGCAACATGATACAGAGGGCTAGCTCATTGAAGAGTTGTAGTCAATGATCTGTTTGGATGGTTGCCAAGATTTGCACAGGCCCCAGACAAAGACTGTTTTGTGTGTGTGAGAGAGGGGTGTGTGTGTGTGTGTGTTGAAATGGTCACCTGTGTCTCATTTTTATATTGGACTTAAATCTATAGGAAGAGTTTTATGGAAGAAAATTGATTCTCGCTGATAGAGAAGAAGTGGAACAGGAAGCAAATAATATTTTAAAGGATGCTGATATCAGTGATGTCGCATTCCTTGTAGTTGGTGATCCATTTGGGTAAGTCAAAGGAGATATTTTGAGTTTTAATTTATTTACTTTTTTAATCATTAAGAATTCTTTTATTACATTTAAAACTTTATCTTCCAGGTCCTGATAGGGGACTGTTTAACTAGGCTCTGTCTAAAATTTTGTAGTTTAAACTTTCATTATCTTTGAGATTAATGAAGAAAATTTATTTGGGAAGGATGTCATCATGTATCACTTACATTGATTATCAAGTGTCAACTCTAAAGTTTATATCGTTGCTTCAGCTATTTTTTTAGAAAGTCACTTGGGGCATCAAATAACCTAAACTAGTATATCATTATTAAATAAGTATATTACATTATCAAGAGTTGTACCTGCCATTTATTTTGCAGGTAAGTGCAGGTATCTTCTGCTTGCTTTGTCCTCGGCTTTTTTTTTCTTTTTTAATCATCTACTATTTAGCAATACTGTTGTCACTTTACTTGCCTTGAATTTATCGTTTATCAAGCCTCAGATTTCAATTTCTTATATCCACTGGGAGCTCTGTTCTTCCCCATTACTAAAAAGATGGGCTTATACTTGTCTAGTCAAGCATCATCAATCTCTAATGTCAAGCCAAACAGAACAGTTCTTTTTCTCCAGCTGGTGACCCAGGATTTATGTCACAGGTTTAAGGAACATAAGGACAATTAAATCACTGTGAACCCACCACCAAGGATATTTTTCAAAACAATTACGTGTGCATGTAATTGTTTTGTGCATGTTAGTTACATGTGCATGTGTCTGTCAAAAAGAAAGTAATTTATATCAATATGAGGTGCCAGAGATTATGTATCATTATGATACTTAGTTGCAAATGGTATCCAGTCACTGATGAAGTCCAGTAAACCCATGCTACTTGAAGTGAGATTTGCAGGCTATTGCCAGCCCACAAACTTACCAGTCCATGATGAGATAACTACAGAAATTGAAAGTAGGCATTTAGAAACTTTTATAGCAATTTTACAAAATAATTTTATCTCTGCTGAAACTAATAATAAAACTTTGGAGCTTGTATTTTGTATTATTTTATATTTTATTTTTCTAATAGTTATTTTTTTTGCATTTTACAAAACTAATGTTCCATGACAAGTTAGAACTTAAAAAATATTGGCCTTTCACACAGTTTGAGAAGCACTGCTGTTGACTTTTGTTTTACCATGTTTTTCATATCCTTTCATTCCTTTCCTCTGTGGCAGCCACTATTCTACCTAATCCAAGCTCTCATTATACTAATTTAATATAGTAGCCTTTTACCTGGTCCAGGTGTAGATTCTTAACTCATTACCTATGCTGTGATCAAATTCATGTTTGTAGATCCACAATTTTAAAATCTCACCCGGGCTCAAAATTAGACTATTATTACCTCCATCATTGGCCAGACATGAAAAATACTGTCTAGCCTGCTCTTCTACTGGTGTCCTGCCAGTCTTGTACTGAAACCCACGCTCACGCCAACCAGTTTGCCCTTCCCTGATCGTCATGCTTTCTCACCATCATGCATTTGTTCAAACTGTTTTCCTCATCTGTAATGCCCTTTGCCCTGTTTCTGACTGTCAGAAACCTACTCATTTTTCAAAGCCCAACTCAAACATCACATTCTCTGTGATATAATTCCTAATTAACCCAACCAGAAGTTATATCTCTTCCTAACTGCTGATGTTAGTTTTCATATATTACCTCACAAAGTATTTTTTTATTTGTATATTTACTCTTTAGATTTGTAGGCTCCCCTTCACATTTTTATCTCCCTAGCTTCCTTCACAATACTGAGCTTATAGTAGATATCAATTAAATATTAATTGAAAGAATTGTTAATATTTTGCCTGAGGTCATGACGAAGGAGGACCAGGTGTATTTGGACTGACATCCATTCAGCAAATATCTTTTGAGCACCTATCTTATGACAGGCTATCTTATGACAGGCATTCCTATGTGCTGGATATATATTAGATGATAACTCATGGGGTTTACAGTTTAGTAAGGGAGACTGACATTAGTTGAAGAAAAAATAATAAATTAAAAAAATCAATAAATCTGTAAAGGAAAAAAAATAGAGACTAACAGGAACAGACTTATTTATGCAGGGTCATATGGAAAATCCTTCATGTGGAGGTGATATTCAAGCAGGTATCTAAAAAGTAAAAGGAAAAGCAGAAGGGAAGAACATTCTAAGCAGAGGGAACAGCAAGAATGTATTCAAGTAACTGAAAGGCCAGAGTGGTTGGAGCTCAATGAGTGAAGGAAAAAGGGACCTGAGAAGGAGTTAAATAGATAGGTGGGATCCAGACATGTAAGGCTTTGGAGGGAGTAGGGATTTTGTTTGAAGTACAGTGGTAAACTTTTAGAGGATTATAAGCAGCAAATAATCACAATCTCATTGACATTCTTAAAAGATCACTCTAAATGCTTGGGTGAATGGGTTTTAGGGAGGCAAGGGTGGCTCTGGTAGAAGAGAGAAAAAGACAAACTGGGAAAAATTTAGAAGGAAAAATGCTCGGATGTATATAGTAGATGAGGAAAAGGAAAGAAGTAAGTCTTCAATGATTCTGGCTTTAGTTACTGAGTAGTTGATTATGCCATTTTTTGAAATGATGAAAGCCAGCAGGAAAAAGGGCTGGGAGAAACAAGAATTGGTTCTGGAAATGTTTTAAGTTTTGGATGTCATATAGACAGTTTGATATCTGCTACTGGAGCTCAAGGGAGGATTTATCCTGGTTATATGACTTTTGAAGTCATCAGTATCTAGATGGTATTTAAAACCTGAGTAGTGGATGGAATCACATTAGGAAGGAACAAGAGCAAGAACAGAAGACCTAGGATGATCAATCCCTAGGAAACTGGCATTTCATGGTCTCTCAAGAGCAGAGGAGGAGGAAAACCGATAGAGTGTGCTGTCACAGAAGCCAAGAAAAGAGAATGTTTTAGAAAAGAAAGAGTGGTCAGCTTTGATGTACTGCTGAAAGGTTAAGTAGAAGATGAGGATAGAAAAGTGTGTGTAAACTTAAAGGCTTTATTTTATGGAGGAGTTGGTGCTTGAGCAAGGTCTGGTTTAATAGTTGAAGATTGTGAGGTAAGATTGTGGGGTAGGATTGGGGGGCGGTTGGGGTGGAAGGGAAACTTCAATGTAAATGAAAAAACTGAGGCCCAGAGAAAGTGCTGTGATGCTGCTCAGAATCCTTCAGTGACTTCGTGGCCTTAAATCTTTTAACAGTTTATCTACTTCTTCCTTTGGCTACTCTTCTTTTTGACTATGGTAGAGCCAAATTGTATAACTTTGCCATTTTGTAAATGTTTTGCAGTATTCGTTCTCCATGTCTTTGCTCGTGCTTTTTCCTTAAACAGACTGTTCTTCCTAGTTTTTATTTAGTGAAATAGTAGATTCTTTAAGACCCAGCTTAGATGCCACCTCTTCCATGAATCTTCCCTTATTTTATTCAGGAGTAAGTGCTTTTTTTTTTTTTTTAAACTTCTAGCCAGTTAATTTTCCCTATGTCAGTGACTAATCATATATAACCTTATATTTGGATTTATGTAATATTTACTGTAACTGTAGTTATTTTTCATTTATCCACTGGATTACTGTTGGGATATAGTAGCTGGAGACAGGGTGGTAAGGAAGGTATAAATTTTAATTGGGCCTTGAAGAATTAGAATTTGAATTAATTAAATGGATAAACCAGGAAGGGAATACAGAATGCAACAAGGCACTGAAATTCTTCCATGTATATATATGACCAAAACAATGTACTTTGTTTAATTTTAAGCCCCTTTCTACTTATTTGAATAAAAATTTCAAAAAGAAGGGAAAACTGTTTACTCAATCTTAAATTCTTTTTTCTAATTTTTAAAAATTTTCTAATATTTTTAAAATATTTAAAAATTTATTATTTTAACCATTTTTGAGTGTACAGTTCAGTGGCATTAAGAACATTCACATTGTTGTGCATCCATCAGCACCGTCTATCTCCAGCAATCTTAAATTCATGGAGAAGGTAATTGAAAGTAAGTTCAGTCAGTTGGTGTAGTTCTCATCTTTGCCCTTTTAATCTAGGTTATTAAAAGGAATGTGGAAGTTAATCACATAAATAATGTAAATGACTCTAAAAATGTTCTGCATCCGTAGATCTGACTCAGTCATGTGAGAGATGACAGTCTTAAGCTTTCTGTCCCCATAAAGAGCAGTTGAACAGGGTCATCATTAAACAGATTCCTTCTGGACTTCCCTGGTGGTACAGTGGTTAAGAATCTGCCTGCCAATGCAGGGATCACGGGTTCGATCCCTGGTCCGGGAAGATCCCACATGCTGCGGAGCAACTAAGCCCATGCACCACAACTGTTGAGCCCGCATGCTGCAACTACTGAAACCCGTGTGCCTAGAGCCTGTGCTCCACAACAAGAGAAGCCACCGCAATGAGAGCCCATGCACTGCAGCAAAGAGTAGCCCTGACTCACTGCAACTAGAGAAAGCCCATGCAACAACGAAGACCCAACACAGCCAAAAATAAATAAATTTAAAAACAAAAAACAAATTCTTTCTAAAGATGGTTCTGTTTTTATTCCATTTGCTATTTTAATATGCTCTGTAATATGTTCATGGTACATGCACACACATACACACACACAAATATACCTTTATTCACCTGTCTCCTACGTGCCTTAACGTGGATCATTTAATTGCTTCCATTCTGCAAATTAATGTTATTATAAAATAAAATTTAAAATAGACATACTAGGCCTTATACATTCAAATTGTCACCTTTATGAATTTCATTTTATTAATTCCATTGATCACAACATTTTTTTTTAATAATATTCTCTTTTTTTTAAACCCCACATTTATTTATTTATTTTTGGCTGTGTTGTGTCTTTATTTCTGTGCGAGGGCTTTCTCTAGTTGTGGCAAGCGGGGGCCACTCTTCATCGCAGTGTGCGGGCCTCTCACTATCACAGCCTCTCTTGTTGCGGAGCACAGGCTCCAGACGCGCAGGCTCAGCAGTTGTGGCCCACGGGCCCAGTTGCTCCACGGCATGTGGGATCCTCCCAGACCAGGGCTCGAACCCGTGTCCCCTGCATTAGCAGGCAGATTCTCAACCACTGCGCCACCAGGGAAGCCCGATCACAACATTCTTGAATCTCCTCTTTTGAAATTGCCTTCAGAGCAATTCCAAGTATATTATTAAGAAACATTTACTATTTCTGGGCATGTGGCTCTATCTAGAACTATATGTGTGTGTATATAAGTATATATGATATTAGATAGAGCCACATGCCCAGAAATAGTAATAAATTTGTCTTTACACACGGCAGTGCACACGCGTGCACACGCACGCACACACTTTCCCAGTCACTACAATGAAACATTTTCATGAGCCATGGACCTGGAGGAATGCCCAGTATAAGGGTGTTAAGCCCATGGTTCGTACAGTTCTTTTTTTTTATTGAAGCAATATAATCTAGGTAATTGTGATGATAAAATACCAATTTTATCACAGTTTTTCATAGCAGGAATCTGAAAGGCTAATTTAATCACATTTATATCAGTTTCACAAAATCAAACCACTTTGCCAGGTCATTAAATCTTCATAGTACACCAACCACATCTGGTCATTTTAAATGAACTTGTGATAAAAAGAGAATAATTTTAAACCAGTTTTTTCTTTCTGCTCATCTATTTAAATAACTCACCAAGTAACTAATTCAGTTTTCCCTTAGCTTAGTGTTAAATAGTGAAATTCTGTTGAAAGTGATATTAAAAACTTATAACTGGCATTTATATTATTTTTTAAAAGCTTACTTTAAATCAAATTAAGGATTATTTTTATAGTAGTTTGTATTTTATGTGTGTGATTTAAAACAGACTTCCCTGGTGGGCATTCTTTAATCTGTTTCTGACTGCCTTGTGGGGTGAAAGCCCTTGATCTTCCTACTTGGTATGCATTGACCAGTTGACAGGTTCTGCTTGTTTGTATGTAGTTTCTCAAACATGCTAATGTTGCTTTCCCCAGTAGGGCTTGGAGTTTTCATCAAGGGGGAAAAATGCCGTTAATAATGCAGTTCTAAATTGATATGAGGTTAAGTTTCACAGTGTCCATATTTATATTTATATGTATTCTCTCTTACCACAATCTATCTAATTATAATCGTTAGATCTATCTCAAAAAAGGGAAGGCAGCAGGCAGAATAGGCACACCCTTACACATACTAATTATGCACAGTAACAACCAGGCTGAAAACAGTTATAAATAAAATGACTGCTAGACAGATAAAATCCAACTAGGAATATATCAGTCAGAACTCTGATCTACAGCCTGTGAAAATGTTCTGTAAATTGTGCCTTATACAGAAACAAAGCCTTCAAAATAGAGCAGAAATCAAGGAGGAAGTCTAGTGCCATAATTTGGAACTCTGTAGCAGAAATTTTAAGAGTTTAAAGGGACCCTAAGACCAAAACATTTGAGAATTGCTACTCAGGAGTTCAGTTGCTGAGTAATATTCCACAGATGTCTTTTGCAGGTGTTAACAGGAGGAAAAGAGCAAGTTAAAAGTTCCCTTTTTTCTGTAGCTGCCAAGGCTGCTTTAAGAGTGTTAAAGGTGCAGTTCAACATTGTACAGGGCCTGTGTAAACTTACACTTTTCTTGCCCAGAAACCCAGATGAAAGTGTTATGCAGGTGCCTCGAAATATTTGAGGGAAAGCAGTGTCCTTGACCCTTTGATTGACTTGAGCTCATGAAATGCTGTGGCTTTACTGTCTTAAAAAGTCAGCCGTGGTTAGTTTAATCCAACCTGATCTTTTCTCACTACAGAGCTACAACACATAGTGATCTTATTCTGAGAGCAACAAAACTGGGAATCCCTTACCGAGTTATTCACAATGCTTCCATAATGAATGCTGTAGGCTGCTGCGGTTTACAGGTAATACTACAAAAGAACGGGTTTTTTTTTTTATGGTATTTAGCAAAAATGTTTTAGTTTTCTACAAATTTCCATAGATTTTATTGTATTTCATGAATTATAAGACATTATTATTTTATATAAGACTGTGTATTAAGTTTTTTAATACTAGATTTTTTTATAATAATTTTCCCATAGCTTAGACTTCTTTTCCCCTCACTGGAATAGATCATTGAAATTTAGCTAGAGAAAGATTTTAATTTTATATCCAAATTGTAATATACAAAAAAGGGAATATAACCAAATTAAATTGGTTAAGTATTCCTAAAACCTTTTAAAATTATTCCAAATGACTTACTCTGCATTGCTGAGACCCATGTTTTTCCACCCAGTATTGTTTTCTGTGCTATTAAGAGCACGGTGATGCAGCATTTCTTAAAATAATCCATGAAAGAGCTAAAAGCCAGGATATTAGGCTTTTAAGCCAGCTTTGCAATTATTGATATGTAAAGTTAGTTGTTTTTGACCCAGAAATCTTGGTTCTGAGGAGTTAAAGGAGCACTCCATAACTGTGTTTAATATTTTCTTCCAGGCTGCTGACATTCATTTTACAAGTTTGATATCTGTGTTCTGATGTTCACACATATATAATCCATGACAATTGTGACTGCTTGTGGCCAACAGTAGTTTTAAGACTTTATTGATTGTTAAGACACATTCCTATTTCAGATGTATTATAACAGGAAAAAATTTGCATCTTAGAATCTATGAAATAGGTATTTCCCAGTATATCTTCCTGGTATGCATAATTTAAAATAGCTGTTTACAAAGTAAGGGACAGCATGAACTGAGAACTATCGGCCTGTATTGGTTGGTTTCCTCTCTGGGAATATGAAACAGGCATTTTATTCTAATGAAATCTTAAATATTTTGATCATATATATGGAGAGTCCATTAGAAAAGTAGTCAAGAGTCTCTCAAATATTCTCAAAATCAAATAAAAGAAAAAATAGTAAAGATTTTTTTGGGAATCATCTATGTATTTCTAATCTCTTCGGAAATATAAAGATAGCTTGATCCTTTCTACACAGGTATTTTAAAGGAAATATAATCCCATAAAATTTAATTAATACTTCTATGCTTTAGTGAAGCCCATGGATAAAAGCTACTATCAGTTATGAAGTACTGGCATGATTATTCTGATAAATGCAGTTTTTAATTTTCTACACACTAATTAGATGTCCCAAATTAAAGGTGTGATACCACACAGAATAAGAGCTGCTGATTATTAGGCACAAAGAGACAACGCACAATGGATCACCTAGACTCTGAATTCAATTGCTAGTTGTATATATAGGAAATCTCAAAAAACACTTTTTCTTTTCTTTTGTTCTGAGGGTCAATAAAATGCTATTTAATTCATCCATTAAAAAAAAAAGTAGCTGTTTACAGCAAGAAGCTACATTAGCCTTGGTATCCAATGCTGTGTCTGTGGCTTTAGAGGGACCTGTATTTTCTGTATTACCTGTGAAGAGTAGCTCACTTTAATTGACTAATCCTGGCCAGGCATCCCAGAAATACTGCCTTTGGTTCTGAAGAACCAGAGAAAAAGTATAAATGATTCACCTTTCAGTATTCATTACTTCCTCTTAGTTATGACTACGTCTAAATTGGCAAAGAACTTTGCTGTCTGTTTTGTCTTCTAATAAAATGCATACTTTAAAAAAACCTTGCCAATTCAGTCTTTTTTACACTTAAAATTTTTTCCCAACATTTCTGTGTTGGAATAAATTGAATTCTTGACTCTCAGATTCATGAGTGATTCTCAGTCCAATATTCTTTCCTCTAGACATGCTATCTTTTAATCCTTTAAGAATGATTGCCATGAGAAAGGAAAAAAAGAGAGGAATAAATTATGTGATAGACAAAAATGTGTAAATCTTAAGCTAATGGACTATATATAAGGGACTATATATATTTTTTCATATTGGTTTTAATTTTATTTCTGGTGAAGAAGGTTAGTTAGCCCCTTTCCATCATATTTTGCTCTAAATTATCTTCTAATAATCTATTATTTAGAGTTTTTTGCTTTTTAAGCGTACTTTTTTTTTAACATCTTTATTGGAGTATAATTGCTTTACAGTGTTGTGTTAGTTTCTACTGTATAACAAAGTGAATCAGCTATATGCATATGTATATCCCCATATCCCCTCCCTCTTGCGTCTCCCTCCCACCCTTCTAGGTGGTCACAGAGCACCGAGCTGATCTCTCTGTGCTATGCAGCTGCTTCCCACTAGCTTTCTAGGTTACATCTGGCAGTGTATATATGTCAATGCTACTTTCACTCCGTCCCAGCTTACCCTTCCCCCTCCCCGTGTCCTCAAGTCCATTCTCTGTGTCTGTGTCTTTGTCTTTATTCCTGTCCTGCCCCTAGGTTCATCAGAACCATTTTTTTTTTTAGATTCCATATATATGTGTTAGCATACGGTATTTGTTTTTCTCTTTCTGACTTTCTTCACTCTGTATGACAGACTCTAGGTCCATCCACCTCACTACAGATAACTCCATTTCATTTTTTTTATGGCTAAGTAATATTCCATTTTATAAATGTGCCACATCTTCTGTATCCATTCATCTGTTGATGGACACTTAGGTTGCTTCCATGTCCTGGCTATTGTAAGTAGTGCTGCAATGAACATTGTGGCACATGACTCTTTTTGAATTATGGTTTTCTCAGGGTATAAGGCATAAATATTTTAAAAGATCTTTGTCTTTATTATGTAAATCTGTTATCCAGACTGGGTAAAGGTAGACTAGGGTGACCCTTTCCCTCTGATCCCCACACTGATAAAGAAGTACAGTATTATTGTTCTCATATTTAAAATGGGTGAAGGTATTTGAGAGGGAATTTACTATGAGAATTGACAGTCTCCATACATATAAGCCCCCAAGATCATATCCACATTTACATATATTATTATTATTTTAAATTTAGCTTTCTCTCAGTTTTATATGGGATTTCTCTAAGCAGCCACAAAGTACTATTTCCCCATCTTGGTTCTGTTCCCTAATCTGGATATGAAATGACTTACTACTAGTGTGAAAAACAGGAAGTACCTTTCTATTTTCTGTCTTTTGTATTTATGAAATCTCTATGGAAGTATAATTCTTGTACCACCCAAGGTATTCCTATCCCAGGAGAAGGAGGTAATTATTGATTCCTTTGTATAGTTTTCTAAGATAAAAGACATAAAAAAAATCATATGCATAGCACACTTAAATTTTAAAATAAATGTATATGGATATCCTGCATAATGCAAAAATTTTGGCAAAGTCCCCTTCCTTATAATAGCTCGTCTTTTTCTCTTTACTCTTTGGACTAGCATTTATGGAAAAACAATAACCTATACCAGTGGTTCTCAGACTTCAGTATTCATCAGAATCACCTAAAGGGATTATTAAAGAGTTTCCTGGGCCTTCCCTTCAGATTTTCTGATACAGTATATCTGGAGTAGGGGTATGAGAGTTTGCACTTCTAACAAGTTCTCAGGTGATGCTGAAGCTGCTGGTACAGGCACCACACTTTGAGATTCATCAACCTAGACAGGTAAAAAATTTCTTAGAAAGTTAAAAACTGCACTGTCATTCTTTTAATATGGCAGAATTGGAAAAGTAGATTTTAGTTCCCAGAAATACGCTTGCTAAATGTAGAGTGTTAACAGGTTACCTTGCCATGCTCTCTTGCTCAATTTTCTAAAAGGGAAGTGGGCACCACTTTCGAAAGGCATTCTGTCATTTATGTGAAAGAGCTTTCCTATGAATTGAAAAATGGCCATCGAGTTGTTAAACAGAAGTTCTACTTGGGTAAGGTTACAGACCTGAACGGTATATACTTTTCCAACATCTTTACCTTAGGTTAAAGAGGAGTAGTATGAAATTCCTAACCTGAGAATGGGTACAGTTTTTTTAGCTATCATTTATCAGCTCCTTTTGAACTATCTTTTTTGTTTTTGTTGTTTTCTAAAGCAGCATAGTTCAGAATCGACCATTGAGGTTTTTTTATTAACTTTGTAGTTTATTAACCAACAGAAGTTTCTTGATTATCAGTATCTATGAAGGTAAGTAGTTGCATAGACTAACACTTCTACACACACACACACACACACACACACACACACACACACACGCACACATACTTAGCCAGTTGATATGCATTCTATTCTAGGCAAGCCATAAATACACTTCCTTACCACAAACCTCATATACCTAATGAAATTGTTGTTGTTGTTATATGGAAAGTATATTAGAGGTTGCCAAGTTAGACATCATTAAGAGGAATAGTGATCCATTTATTCAACAAATACTGTTTGTCTTCTTATTGTTTGCCTACTGAGTTTCTTTGAATTTGGTGGTAAAGCTGACCAAGAAGGTCTCTGCTCTCAAAGAGCTTACATTCTAGTAGGAAAGAGAGGCAATAACAAATTTAAAAAATAAAGTCAGGTAGTGGTAAGTATAAGAAATTCAAGTAGACTGCTAGTTTAGAGAGTGACTAGGTCACTACTGTAGTTGGGTAGTCAGGGGAGGTCTCTCAGGGTGGTAACATTTAAGATTAGATATTAATCAAGAAGGAACAACCATATCCCAGTCAGAAGGAACAGTTTGGACAAAGACCCTAAAGCGGAGATGAGCTTGGCTTGTTAAAGGAACCAAAGGAAGGCTTACTGGAGAGTAGTAGGCAAGGAGAAGAGTGATCTGAGGCTGGATAGGTGGGTAGGGTTGGATCACTAGGCTAATACACTGTCAGGAATTTGGATTTTATTCTAAGTGATATAGACTAACTGCCTTTAGAGGGATTTAAACAGAGCAAATACTTTATCTGGTAAGTGTTTTAAAAAGATATATCTGGTTGGTATGTGGGGATTGAATTTCTGCCAGGGAAGACTAGAAGTGAGGAAATCAATTAGTAGGTTTATTGCAGTCTTTTAGAGAAGAGGTGATGGGGGCTTGGACTTCATGGAGAG